ATAATTAGGTATTGAACTTCAGTGACAACGTTGCTAAATTATGATTATTTTATGGTGCAACACTTTTATCTAAGGATAAAAAAATATAAGAAATCTTAATCTTGTATGAATTCAAATATAAATAAAAAAACATGAATTTAATTTTATAGCCTTGTTTAATCAGAAATATTGTAGAATTATTTGTAGGATGGATATTCATATTATAGTATTCCCTCTGTCCACCATAGATCTTTTCAGACACTTTTCACATGAGTCAAACTTAAATCACTTTGTTTGTGTATTTTTACTACTCATTTCAATAAATAATATAGTGTTGTCACCTCTAATTTTGTAGAACTTTTCATATAGTTTATTACTACATAAATTTTAAATTAAAATTTTACCCTTATATTCAAATAAATTAAATTGAAAATAAAGTCGGTTAAGCCTCGTAACGCGCAATGAGAAGATCTTAGGTGGACGGAGAGAGTAGTATTTCAAAGGATAGAAATTAGAACAAATATTGGATAGGTGAGTTTGGGTTTGAAAATTTCCTTTTGTAGAATTAGTAATTACGGAGTATAATTATAAAACTTTACTAGATTTTCTTTTCGTATTTAAAAGAATTCTAATCGTAGGAGTAGTTTTCTTGTAAAACAATTTCTAATAAAATTTCCAAAAGTCAAATTAAGTATAAAAAAAAAGTAGAAAAATTGAAATTGGAAAGAAATATTAGACTGCTCCGTAATTAAATAATTACTCCATATTTTACGATGACTTAAAGCGCATTATTCGGAGCGGATTAGTACTAATCCATTCTTCGGTCCAAATAAAACAGCGCCTCTCCCGTTCAAATCCCCTCAAAATCTCTCTCTGTTTTCTTCTTCTCCATCTTCTTCTTTCTTCCCATTGATCTTCAAATCTTTCTCTAATACAGAGTATATACATTCTTCATATCGTAGCCATGGCAGTCAACGGCGGATCTCAGAATCTGATCGTGAGCTTCGGCGAGATGCTGATCGACTTCGTGCCGACGGTCTCCGGCGTGTCCCTGGCGGAGGCGCCCGGTTTCCTGAAGGCGCCGGGCGGCGCGCCGGCGAACGTCGCGATCGCGGTTGCTAGGCTGGGCGGGAAGGCCGCGTTCCTCGGGAAACTCGGAGACGACGAGTTCGGACACATGCTCGCCGGAATTCTGAAGGAGAACGCAGTGCGCGCCGACGGGATCAATTTCGACAAGGGCGCCCGCACGGCCCTCGCGTTCGTGACCCTACGCGCCGACGGCGAGCGCGAGTTCATGTTTTACAGGAACCCCAGCGCCGACATGCTTCTCACCCCCGATGAGCTGAATCTGGAGCTCATTAGATCTGTGAGTGACGTCCCCTCACCATCAATTCGCTTTTTCTTTTTTTCTCTCCAGATTTTTTTATAAATATCTTTCGATGATTTCATAGAAAGCGCGTGACATATTCAAATCTATGCTTTTAATCTTCGCATATCAATGCCGATTATCGCCATTATTACAGATCAGTAAGAACGATTTTGCCCGATTCTAAGAAAATCTCTCTAATTTAATCAGAGAGAAATCTTTATGAACCGTAACGGTGGATTGGATCTCGCTATTTTGGGCTTAACACCACGCGCCGCCATGACGTAGGATTCAATCTTCTGCTGCAAGTGGCCCGCATCTCAGATTTTTTTTATTAAAAAAATCATGAAATTTCGCATCTTTATAAATTTTTATTTCAATTGCTCTCAGAATCTTTATAATCATTATAATCTTTTTTTAATTGGCATGAGAAGAGATCTAAAAAATTAAATGGTGCAAATATTGATTTGGTATGCCATAATTAATTAATTAATTAATTATGGCAATTTTGAAACGCGGGGCGTCAATTCCAAATCTGCAACATATATTTGTCGTTGTTCGTTTGCTGAAATTGGTGTTTCTTGGGGGTCCATTTTTGGTGAGAAATCTCTTCGTTTGTAGCCCCACACGTAATTATTTTTTTAAGGTGCACATGCTTCACATTGTGTATCATTCAACCACTGGGTAGAAAAATCAAGAAACCCCACCAATTGATTCAAATAAAGGCCTTGTTTGGTTGTCCAACAAAATTACAAACACGCTCAACATGGGCAATATGGTCAAATCTGCCTTTTCTGCTGACTCTATTTTTGTTATTGTGTGCTGAAAATTTGATGTACAGGCAAAGGTATTCCACTATGGGTCAATAAGCCTGATAGTAGAGCCATGCAGATCAGCTCATTTGAAGGCAATGGAGGTGGCAAAAGCAGCAGGGGCATTGCTGTCTTATGACCCAAACCTCAGGCTACCATTGTGGCCATCGCCCGAGGAGGCCCGGACCCAGATCATGAGCATTTGGGAGAAGGCGGACGTGATCAAGGTGAGTGATAACGAGCTCGAGTTCCTCACCGGCAGCGACAAGATCGACGACGAGTCTGCTTTGTCCTTGTGGCACCCAAACCTCAAGCTCCTCCTTGTCACCCTTGGTGAAAAGGGTTGCAGATATTACACCAAGGTTTGTTTAATTCCTCTTGGCATCTTATATTTCTATAGCTTGGCTTTCACATTCGCAAATTTTTTTTTATAGAAACTGATGATATGAGAATATATATATTGAGATGAATTAAGCATTTTACATAAGAGGGCTGCTCTTTTTCTTTTTAATGAAAAATGTGGTCAGGTTAGCACATGTGAATCGTTCAGAAGTTAACTACTGTAAAAAAAAAACAAAAGAGGGGAATTAATATTTTTTGTTTTGTTTTTCATGGGTTGCCATCCTTCCATTCTGCGTTTGAGGACTTTTGGACAAAGTGTCTTCACTTTAGGATGTGGTAATAATTAGTAGAAAGTGGGTAATTCAAAGAAAGGATCAATTGGGTCCCCTTCCCCCCTCTTCCCTTTAGAAATTGAAGTCTTTACCCCATGGGCAGTTTTTCATCATAGTTGTGCCACTCTATTTACCCCCTCTCTAGCTCTATTAAACCAATGAACATGCTTTCCAATTCACTATTCCAAGCCCAGTTTTTAATCAATGTTTGCTTATTCTCAGTACCATTTGATACAATAATATAGTGTTAGGTGACTTCTTGTGTGAACTTCCCAGTATTTGTAGTCTATGTTTTCTTAGAAAGACGTATGGTGAATGTGTTCTTGATATTAGTTTCTTCGTTGTTTTTGGGGTTGTAGAGTTTCCGGGGCTCTGTGGAAGGATTTCAAGTGAAGACCGTCGACACGACTGGGGCTGGCGATTCCTTTGTGGGTGCCCTTTTGTGCAAGATCGTTGATGACCACTCCATAATTGAGGTAAGTACCCAAATATAGTACTGGTTCTTGAATTTGATCATCATCACCACAATCATCATCAGAGTTTCTTATTATAACTCGAGAACGGGAATGATTTGCAGGACGAGTCGAGATTGAAGGAAGTGCTCTGTTTTGCATGCGCGTGTGGAGCGATCACGACCACCAAGAAGGGAGCCATCCCCGCCCTTCCAGTCGAGGCCGACGCCTTGGCCATTCTTTCCGCTGCTAAGAAGGCATAAATTTCACTCCTTGCCTTGGTAGCCTCTTGCATTTCCCATCCATTGTTTTCTTTGCCATCTCCTGTTTTGATTAGTTTTAATTTTTTTTCAAGGGGACTCTTGTTTCTAGTTTTTTTTATTATATATTTTTTCCCTTGTAGTCATGGATTGCTGTCTCTTCTTGGCAATTTTTAATAAATCAGTTCCTGTGTTATTGACTCTAGTAAATAATAATGCTCTGTCCCTTCATTCTTACTGTATTAGGGCCTGTTTGCGGAATAGCTTTAGAGATTAGCGTTAGCGTTTTGGATAAAAATTTAACGGTACAGATTACTTTGAAAACGCTAACGCTAAACGCTGCCCGTAGATAGCCTTTTCAAAACGCTAATGCTAATGGCTAAAGCTATTCCCAAACAGGCCCTTAGTTTGGGGCGATCTCTCCATATATGTACCTAAATAAATACTCCGTATTGAGGAACAGAACAACTAGAACAAAATTTGATATTGCTTTCTCCCGTCCAAAATCCAATTTTGACACGAGGTACAAATTGCTCAAGGGGACTCTTGTTATAAAATTATAAAATTATAAAATTATAAAATAGTATTTCACATTGAAATTAACATGATTATAAAATAAAAATATGCGATTGTAATCTACAAATTTATTCAGAAATACTACCTTTGCCGTTCCTAAAAGAAGTTTCTTATTTGAACGCTGTGTAAAATTTCGTGACTTTTAAAAGAATTATTTTTGTAAATTTTTATACAAATAAAATACTTCCTCCGTCCCAAAAAGATTTACACCTTTCAAAAAATTTACATCCCACAATCTCCTATCCATTTCAATTAAAAAACCACTTTTACCCCTTACTTTTTTCAAACCCTACCTATCACATCATATTTTTTTCTTAATAATCTACACATCAAGGGTATTTTTGGAAAGTCAACACAAAATTATCTCTCCCTTAATTTCAACTTTAGTCAAAACGTGTAAATCTTTTTGGGACGGAAGTAGTATAACACTTACATATCTAGAAACTATATTAAAAGTTTTACAAATATTATTCAAAAAATATTCAAACAAAAAATATCGAGAAATTGTAATAATATGGAAATAAATTATTTTAGGACGAAAGATGTATAAAATATTAAAACATAATGACTTTCTCAATGCAATACTATACGTTTTTATTTCTCAATATGTTACCACTGGTCATTGTTCAAGTAAATTTCTACCGTTATTGGATATCATTGAAACTAAAGTCCACTATCACTGGACATTGTTCTAATCACTAGACATTATTCAAGTAATTATTTAGAGAATAAAAAAATTCAAATACTACATTGAGAAAAGATACACTATTTTTACACTCAGGCTTTCTATCCCTTCTTCCGGCGATGATTATTTATCCCTTTTATTTAATTTTTTTTAAAATACTTCAACTAAATTAATCTGTGGTAATTTTATCTTTTCAATTTATGTCTATACCTTATTTGCAAAGGGCAAACTCGTGGAAATGGGTTAGGTTGTAATGGTGGTTAATAAAGCACTCAGTACGACCAGGAGAGGGAGTGTACTCGTGTGTAAAAGGGATGCAAACAATCATTGCCCCCAAAACCAGACAGTAGTATCAAAAACACAAACACACTTGCCCTGCTTTTCACTCTCACTTTGGTCTTAAAGTAACCACAAAGTTTACACTAGAATGCAATAGACTGTGGATAGCAACCAACGACCTCCATCCTAAGGGATGCCCAAACGCGGTCGTGTTTCGTTTGCCTCTCCCGCATGCGATCTAAAAACCCCTTTGCCCATTTTTCGCCGCTCCCCTCCAAGCTCAGCTCACAAGGAACAGAAAAACTGTCAAATCGACGCACAAAATCATCGTGTTATAAGTTGAGGATACATATGGGAATCCCACTCCAACTCCGGTTTTACAAGAAACGTCAGCATATAGTAATCATATATATCATCTGTTACAGTGTTGTTACCTTAGTAATTCTTCGCTTTGAGACTGAGGTCGATCATCCTTGCCTGCGCCCTTTCTGGAACAGTATCGAGTATGAAAAATGACACCCAGATTAATCTTCCGTAGGGAAAAAATGACACTCAGTGTAAAGTACGAAAGGGTTCTTTAACTTTTGGTTAAAGCCCGAACTAACCTGGATGCAAAAATCTGGAAGATATGAAGTGACTTGGTGGAGAGGTTGTATATGGCATCTTCAATGTGATCCTGCCCAAATAAGTACACTACTGGATACCCAAGTAGCCATCTTCCAACAACAACAACAACAAAAACAATAGTTTGATTAATTTGGTGAAACCCGCGCTTTGATAAAAAAATATATATATGAAAGTCACCAACAAAGAGCAAGGAGTGAATATTATTATATCGATGGAGCGATCTGCAGCATGATCATGATGAACATAAATTGTGATACTGTATGTGACTAGTACCATAGAGTAGTTTGAAACCACAGTCCAGATAGAATGTACATGAACCTCGGATAGGGCAGATCATAAAACAGATTAATAAGAGAAATTACAGGACACAGACAAATTACCCATTAAGTGTTGGAATGGTGACCCCAGTTTCTTTAATGCTGCTACTGAGATCAATAAGCTCGGAGGACTGCAAACTATTTGGCTTGTTTTTGAATGCCGAATCTCTACTACATTGTTCCAAATAATTAGTACTTGATTCGCCTTCCGAAAAAAGCGATGAAAATAGTTTCTGTGCCAGTACGAGCGCGTGAATTGCAGCTTTCTCATCAGTTCTTGTTATCATCTAAAGTAACATTTTCGAAGATTCAATTAGACACGGTACACACATCAGTAAAAAAAGTAAATAAATATGAAAAAAATGAAAGAACGAGAGAGAAGAAAATGCAACCTTTGGAGGATCTTGTTCAAGGTCTATATAGAGCAATTCGGATTCCAAGTTGGTGCTCGATTTCACATATTCATCAAATGTTTTGAGATGAACCAAATAAATCATGTCTTCAATAATCATTACCCGAAGATTTTCAAATCCCAAAGACTCCTGGAAAATTGTAGACAAGTATATCAGTGCAATCCTGTCAAGATGACAGACCATAGTTAAAAGAATAGATACATATTGCTATACTCCATCTTAAAAGATGTGATAAGGGAAAAAACAATAGGAGTTAGTTCACTCTCAGGGATTTTCACCTTCGTGTAAATCAACAACAACAAACCCAGTAAAATCCCACAAAAGTAGGGTCTGGGAAGGGTATGTGCACACAGATCATAGACTAAATCAAAACAGCAAATTAAACTTCCTTTGCTTCTTACTTCCCAATGAAGTTTCAGATAGTAAATGCAGCAATGCATCAAGGTTCTAACAAAAAATAACCTCTTCATTTTTAGACGGGTAAAGTTGCGTACATCTTAATCCTCCAAACCCCAACGGAGTTGAGATTATACTAGTTTTTGTTCTTGTGTCAAACAAGTAAGGGTATCGGGTTGTATCCCATAGACAAATATAAATAGAGATTAGAGAAGCAGAGAGAGTTTAGAGGCCAACATTTATGCATTGTTTGAGGAAAGCACAGAGCTTTTGTTGCAGTTCCGGCATCTTTCCGCCATAATCCACCATCACAACCGGCCTCATCCCAGTGCACAATGCCAACATGTCTGCCCATGACATTCCCATTTTATCAATTTTCAAATTTTAGGTCAAAATGACACTGGTTCAAGAATCACAGGGATTCAAGAACCCTTCCTGTTTCGGGATCGATCAACAGCAATAGAAATCCCGAAACTTTGATTAGCGCAGTTTTAAAAAAAGGTAACGAAACTCGGTATCTACTCGTTGGGTAGAAAAAAAACACTAATTTGTTGGATTTCTCTGCAGAAATGGAATCCAATAAGAAGGTATATAGAGGGAGGGAAGGAGTGAAAGAACCGGTTTGAAGGCGACGCTTGGAGGAGGGCTTGAGGCGCCATTTGATACGGGACAAGGAAGATTCCAACGCCCTCACTATTTCATCTGCCTCATCCATTTCAACTTTCCATTCCATAACCCAATTTGGAATTTTGGCCCTTTTTTAAATATTGGATAAAGCTTATATCACAAACTTTTGTATCTCATTTTGTGCACCGCATGTTTGCACCAATTTTTTGTGTTGATGTAAAACTAATTTTTGTTAACGCACCAACACTATGTGTCCGTGTAAATTTTTGTTAACGCACCAATACTTGTATCGATGTAAACCATCAAAATGTTTGTATATAACTGCGGTATACAAATGGGGTACAATTTTTAGTGTTTGCTATAAATGTAGCATGGCCCTTAAATATTCTCTGGGAGCCCGCTTACGTGATTCATGAAGATTTTGCCACAACTCAATGGCCACCAACTAATTTTTGTGAGACGAAATTGATGGGATTTAATTTGAAGTTTAAATTTGATAGAATTGATTTAGATGGAATTGAATTTTTTCAATTCCAAATCATTTTAGATACAACCAATTCTAAATTCATATATTTTTGCGCTATCAAATAGTAGAATTGAAGTTGTTGATATCAATTCCAATTTCATAGTTTGAATTTCGTGTACCAAACGGAGTATTAGGTTAAAAAACTCTCCCTCCCTACGTCTCAAATTAAATCATCTCTTCGAGTTTAGGATGTTTGAAATTATTATACATCAAAAGTTGTCTATAATTAAAAATAAAAAATTACATATTTAAAAACTAAATTAAAATATCTACAAAACTAGTGGTGATATGACAATAATATTTTATCTAGTTACGAACAAAATTATGGAAAGAAAATTAATGAAATTTGACATATGAGTAGTAAGCAAGTAACTTAATTTGAGACCCCAATTAGAATATATTTCCTTGCATATAATTGTTTATTTATATATTATCTATTAAGGTTTTTATACTGAATACATATTTCAAATAAAATTCATTATTATTTTTTATTATTTCATATTGCATATTTAAAAAAATTAGTAGACGTTGCCCCTGACCCCAACTAATGATGCTCCTAACTGTCTGAATTCTTAGATCAAATTTCTGGATCGGCCATTGATCACTATATTAATATACTTAGATATGGGCAATACCAAGTCGTGTTTTATAAAAATTACCTTAAACATGAGTAAAATATCAAGAAAGTGTCAAAATAAAAACTTCATATTTTTATCTCTAAAATAAGAATTTACATTGTGACAATGTGATACTATATATAAAAATTTCACAATATTTTTTAAAAATATATATGGTTATGGTTGACACCGTAAGTACATTTTAATCTTTATTTCAGAAATAAAAACATTAAACCCATATTTTAGTAGTATATTTTTGATGTCTGTCTTCTACTGAAGTCTTTTTCTCTTTTGGTTATACCTTCGAATTTTGTTATACCAATATTTCAGTACGAACAAAATTCAAACCATCTGCAATCAGGTAGCTATGGGGGCAGTGGCCCCCAGTGAACATATTTAAATATTCTATTAAAAAGAAAAAAGTTGGGGTTGATTTCATTGATGCCCCCAGTAAAAAATTCTTGGTGCCCCAGTAAAAAAAGTTGGGGTTGATTTCAAATTAACTTTTTTGATTCAAACTAGATAAATACTTCAAGGCGGAAGAATTACATTGCATTAAAAAAATTTGTAGATGTGTTGCCTCTAAACCCCGTCTTGCTCTTGCTGCTATTCTTTTTCAATGGTGCCCCCAGTGATATGTTGTCCTAGATCCGCCACTCTCTGCAATCAACAAAGAATTGCTTCTATTGTAAATTTGATATCCATTAATTTAATTGTACTTAAAAATTTGCCTAAATCCACAGATGTTTCTATGCATCTGTTGATTTTGGATATAGCCCGACAGGTGGATTCTTGCTAATTTACTTTTTATTCTTTCTATTTTAACCTCAGCTTTAATTAACACAACACAAACCAATTGGATTGTACTGTTTCTTCATACCAAACCTAATTTTACAAAGAAAAGGGGACCTATTTTGCCATCGTCTTACAAACAATACCCAACAAAGAGAGAAGTGAATATAACTTAATCTAACAGAAGACTAGGAATTGCACCCAAATAACCATAACCAGCTAGCAAGAATCATAGTGTGATGTTCTATTCCAAAACCGCATTCTGTCGTGCATTCCAGCTGCTGGATTGTCGATACTTGTCCCTTATAATACAGTACAGAATGCGGGTTTGGAAGATGCACACTTCAACCACTCCCAAAACATACACAAGTCAGGCGAACAAAGCTTCGAAGAGTAAAAAAGTTGGATTCAACCAAGATCAGGGACAGTAAAGAAATCGTGATCATCCATTCTCGCCCTCTTCTGAGCCATGTAGAATTTGGCTGACTTGTTTGTGTTCATGTTGCTCGAAGGTGGTTGTGGTGGTGGTGGTGGTGCAGATAGTTGTGGCACCTCGTGTTCTCTAAAGAGGCCCATATTGGTTAACCATTCAAGCTCGTCAAGCTCAAGCTGCTGCTCCTGCAGAAATTTCTGCAAAGTAAAGCCACTGATCATTCAACAAATCTCATATAAGGTATGAAGTATATATATGGCTAATGTGCAATCTCATTCAAGGTTTTTTTATGATCAAGAAAAGTTTTTTATTAAAAATTAAATTCAAATTATGCACCAAAAGGCTTTTGTTTTATCTAAACTTTAGCAGAAAACTACTTAAGCAGCAGCACAGATTTGGACAGAATTCATAACTGGGTCAGCCTCACACAGACGTGCCATAATGTATATGGCCCCGTTCACAAAGATTGAATCCAATGATTTAGTTAGTCTAACCCAAGGCTTCGTAAATCCATTTCTCTTTTAATAGGAGTATTTTTAAATTGAGATCTCTAAGAGATTCATAAATCATAACTATAACGACAATCCTTTGGTGTTATTACCTTCTCTGGGGGATTGTAATCAGAAAAGCCAATTAATTCGTCAACGGACCAGGAAGCCGATGAAAAAGCAGACACTTGCTGAGAAGAACTTTTAGCTGCAATCTGCTTTGTGGTAGGTTTGGGTGGCTGTGAATCCTGCAAATGCCCCTTTGGAGCATCTTTCTTGCAGCTGGAACTCAGCGCCACCCGAATTCCTGTGGCCAGAAACCGCTGGTGGTTCGCTGCCAGGCTATTAACTGAGTGAATTGGCTCATCACATTCTTTGCAAAAGAGAGCTCTGTCCTCAACACAGAAAATAAATGCTGCTTTCTCCTGCAAAGCTCACAAAGTGAACTTCATTCACAAAACCAAATCTTGACATTTCTTAAACTAATGAATTCCCATAGTTTCCATTTTCATATACTCCCTTTGTCCAAGAATTATATTCCACGCTTTCTTTTTCATACAAACAACAATATCAAACCAAGGGTATTCCCAAAAGTGGGGTTTCCGGAGGGTAGGATGTACATCGACCTTACCCCTCCCCATGACTCCGTGACGGGTAGAGAGGATGTTTTGGATAGAAAAACTAGATATAAGGAATAAAATTAAAAGGGGTGGCAAGTGGATTGACAAACAAATAAATGGTAGCAGCACTAGTGAGACAGCATAACCAAGTCCACCTAAGAACAGACACTCATGCAAGCCCTAGACCTAGTAAACACAAGAAGCCAAAAAGAGAGACAAGGCTAACCAGTGTACTACCCCTCCATCCTAGATTCCCAGTCCACTTTTCTTTTTCATCCATCCCAAAATAATGAGCATTTCTTTTTAAGAATGGCAATTACGACTCCCTCCATTAGTCCATTCTTTTTTTTAGAGTGACCATTGTGATTATCTTGATACATTGAAAATTGAATAACTATAGACATATTTTATGTCTACATTCATTCATTTTTCAACGTATCAAGAAAGTAATGAACGAGGTATGTGGTTCATACTATTACTCTCCCATCCACATAAATCTAAATCACACGCACATCAAATTCTTAATCCATGTGCTGGTCAAATTCAAATTGTGTCTTTTGGACATATGATAATAAACATAATTATACAAATGAACATGAATACGGAGTATGAAGGAATACAACTTATATAAGTAAAGCTGCAAACTTTGGAGTAAATAATCAAAGATTCTAGACATCAAGCATACAGAGATTGTCCATTTAGCTGATCAAGAACATGGAGGGTGTTTGTTAGAAATAAAAAATAAAATAAAAAGCATACTTGGCAAATGTCACATTGAGGGAGTTTGTCGGAGAGGGTCTGAAGAAGAAGCCTCTGGTGCTTGCTGGCCAGCTTGTTTGCAGCATGAACTTCAATGTCACACTTGCTGCAAAGTGCGGCCTCATCTGCACAGCATATCACTGTGGCTGTTGCCTTCTCGCACACATCGCACTGAATCTTCATCTTCTTCTTCTTCTTCTTCTTCAGAAATCTCTCTCAGGCAAACAAGCAAACACCTTTTCTACATTCAATTTTCGAAACAGAAGAGGCAAGAGAAGATAAAGGCGCAATTAAGATAAGGGGGAATTGAATGTTGTCTAGGATCAAACGCTGGTGATGTCGCTGGTTGAGACAGCACATCAAACTGTGGGCCCCAGGAGCATGTGTGGCTGTGTGGCCGCCGCGGCCAACTTGTGGCCAGAAAGGGTTTTGGGCAAATCTGTCAAAGGTTGATGAGATGCTTAATTGCCCACTTGCCTCCCCCAGTCTCTGCATTTACTAACCGAAACAGAAAAGCTCGGTGGGAACTGAAATCTGGAACAGGAAAAAATCACAGTTAATTCTCTCCGTCTGATTGGAGAAGAAAGCTCGTCTCCCACAGTAGCTGTTCCTCCACCCAAAAGTCAATGATCTGCCTCATCGCTCTCTATTTCTAGTGTCTTGTTCACTTTGGAGAAGAGGAAAAACTAGAGATGAAAGACAATTTGAACTTTGAAGTTTCACATTTGATCTCTCTATATATTAATATCAAAAACGAAAAGTAAGAGTAAAATATTAAAAATATATTAAAATAAAAATTTTATGCTTTTATTTCTAAAATAAAAGTTAAAATGTATTTACAGATTCAATCATATTCATATATATTACGAAAAAGTATTGTAAAATATCCATATAGAGTATCATATTATAACAATAGGAACTCACAAAACATTTTCACTTATATACTCCTTATTTTACATTAAGTATTTTTATTTTATTAAAAATTCATTTGTATCTCTTACTCCCTCCGTCTTGAAATATTTGTTCATTTTTTATTTTTTTCGGTCAAAATTGGTAAATTTTGAAATCCAAATTAAATATAAATGATATTATATATTGATACAAAAATAGTTTTATTAGATTTATTATGTAAAATATTTCCAAAATATTATTTCATCTAATTAATGTATAGTGTACAATATATATTTTATGTTATTATAGGTCAAATGTTAAAAACAGTTAACTAAAAAAAGTTAAAACTGAACAAATACTACGGGACGGATGTATTATTAATTTTTATTCTATCTATCACGTCATATTTATTTACTATTAATTTACACATCATATCCAGAAATAATTAGGACAAATCAAAGAAAAAAAACATATTTCCTTAATAAATTGTAAAGTAAAAAAAATATATTTTGTGGGACGGGTGTAGTATTATACTAAGTATTAAAGTGAGTTGTGTTATTCCCTCATGCAAGTACATGTTGTGTCATTTGGTTGCATTTTGTTTTCATGTAGAAAGTATTTTTCATAGCGATCTTGTTCTTAAAATTCTCTCTTGGCTAAAGCTCTAAGAACATTTATAATGGCCCCAAATATTTCCACTGCACCACGCTATAAATTGTCACGGGGCGAGCGGCGGGCTAGCGTTGCAGAACGATAGTCGGGCCGGATGCCGCAACAAGTGTCGCGTCCCGGGATTGAAGCCAGGCAAGGGGCGCGGAGAGAAGGTATCAGCAGCATCCATTGCAGACGTCCACTGCTTTGTGCCGAGTAATTTTTTTCATTTTCATTTTTTCCTTTAAAATACTTCGTACTACAGAGCAATTTTTTAAAATTTTCAACTCTATAATTTCATCACATCTCCAACTCCAATTTATCCACTCTCACGTTGCTCCATTCACTTTCATCTCTCTCTTATCTCTCTCTCTTCATCTCACTTTCCAAATATGAATCCCCTTCCAGCAATTCGATATTGATGATTGCATCGGATTTACAAACTCCAACATTTTGTTGACGAATGTGGGCAACAAATTTGCCCCGCTCTCGGGACCCAATATATAACCCTACCAAATGTCGACCATTAATACGTCTGACTGTGACTTTTTTGAGTTAGAGCCCTTCACCAAGGGCATTATCAAAGAGAAGGCCAAAAAGAGTGACAGGACGAAGAAGTATATCCTGGTGAAAAGTTTGACATTGGCGAAGTTCTTCGTTGATGTGTCGGAGGATGCCATTTTCGACAAGTACCAGAAATCCAAAATATTCTCAAAGCGTGTTGCGGCGAAGTACAACGTTGGAAGGCCAATGGTAAGCCCGAACATGACGGTGAGATGCTCCGGAAATATTGAAGGAAGTGCTCTCAGAAGGCAAAAAGTTTTGTGGCCGAAGTCAAACGTTGGAAGGCCCAATTGTACTCACCTCAAATCATAGTTTTAGAAACCGTTTCAGACCGTGAACTGGCGAATCGGTGGTTCAACCGGTCTGGTCCAACCCTTTGAACCGTAGCAAGCTTCAAACCAGTCCGAACCGGTGTGAACCGGCCGGTCGAACCGGTCGGGCCAGTTTTTTTTTGTGATTTTTTTCAAAAACATTGATATTATTGATACTATTACCAAATGCATATCATGCAAAGATTTCATTTGAGTGTTTTTAAATAATTTATTTGAAAATAAATAAATTCAACTCTTCATTTATAAAATTTTTAATATTATTCTTTTAATATGTAAATTTTATTTTTAACTTAGTAAAATAACTCAAGTATATTAATATAATTTTAGTAAAATGTTATAAATTACTCCATCCGTCCTCGAAAGGGTTTTTCTTATCGACTTTTTGAGGAATTAAGATATGAATATTTTGGTGTTACCTTTCCAAAAATACATTTAATGTGATGAGTAAAACTAAGATGTGATGGATAGATTATTAGTAAAAAGGTATGATGATATGTAGGGTATGAAAAAATAAGGGGTAAAAGTGATTTTTTTAATAGATAAGGAAAAAAATTAGTGGGACAACAACAACAACAACAACAACAACCTTGTTAAATCCCACAAGAGTAGGGTCTGGGGAGGGTGTGTGTATGCAGACCTTGCCCCTACTCGAAAGTAGAGAGGCTGTTTCCAAAGAGACCCCGACTCAACGTCGAAAGTTGCATTGCTTGACTAACTGCTACTTCATTAATTAAAGAAGCGCAGACAGTTTAGAGATCCATTTTGATTTATTTCATCACACCCCAAAGCTAAAAAATGATGAAATTTTGGTTCCATCGGAGATGATGAAAAGAAAGGGGAAAGAGTTTAAGGGACGGAGAGAGTACTTTCTTTAGATATTTATAAATGAGAATATGTGTGTGTACACACACACATATGGTATATATTTATATATGTATGTATATAATTTTTAAATATGTTTAAACCACCAATTCGACCAGTTGAATAACTTTCGACTAGTGAATCAGTAAATCAATATCTTGACCGGTTCGATCACCGATCCGGTTCTGAAAACTATGTCTCAAATCTCAAAATAAAACTTTTCTTTAAAACAAAATTTTTGGCCAACAAGTAATCCAAGAAAGATTGTTGTACAAACCCAGATACAACTTGGATTACCTCCATGAATTTTGAATAAAACTAGATAGCCCAACGAGGATCCGAGATCATCTTTTTTTTTTTTTTTGGAAAAAAATGGTGCTTCAAATTTTACTCATTCCATTTTTGTTCTCACGGTGAAATCACATCATCGTGTGATTCGTGTCTGTAGGTGGGTTAAAACTCGCACCATTCCTCAGAAATTTACCAGCTCAGTTTTCAACTGTTCAACTCATTCGCCGTTTGCAAATCAAATCTTCTAGTATCACGAGAATCTTCATCTTCGCCACATCAATACCCGCTAGCTGGATCACATTTCGCGGACTCTTTTCCCAGTTTCACGCTATTGGGATGAGGGTTTTTGTTGGGAAGTGTGGGTCTCATGAATCTTCGCGCACAAGTTAAATCTTGATTTGGGCAAGGGGTTGGATTTTGAGCTTGCATTCTTCGGACCGGCGATTCTCTACTATTCTTGTGGTACCGGAGTCTGTATTCCCTCTTCTTCTTGTTCATGTTCATATATTAGTTTGGATTGATCTATTGTGTTTCGAAACAAAATATGGGGAAAACAGAGAGATACATAGGACATAAGTTTTGAGTGTTCGAGATTGAAAAAAGGGCTCCCTTTCAAATGGGGAAACCTCTGTTTTATGAGATAGTGGAGAAGCCAGCTACAAGTTGTGTTATAGCCATATGCAGTGCAATTTGGTTTTATATACAGAAGAAAAACATTGGGTATTCTCATGTGGGATTGAGCTACGAGACGGCATTGGAAGGCCATCACTGGAGGATAATAACATCTGCCTTCTCCCACATTAGTGTGATTCATCTTGTTTTCAACATGAGTGCCCTTTGGAGCTTGGGTGTCATTGAGAAGTTAGGGCACTTAGGTCTTGGGATTCAGTATTACCTGCATTATACTCTGGTCTTGGTCATTTTGTCAGGTCTACTAGTCTTGGGAATGTATCATGTTCTTATACAGAGGTTTAAGCTTGATTATTTTCGCAGAGTTACTGCTGTGGGGTATTCCTGTGTGGTCTTTGGGTGGATGACAATACTGTCTGTTAAGCAGCCTTCGTCAAAATTGGATCTTTTTGGGTTTCTTTCACTTCCAATAAGTTTTGCACCATTTGAGTCGCTCATATTGACCTCAATCATTGTTCCCCAAGCCAGTTTCCTCGGGCACTTGTCAGGAATCGTGGTCGGTTATTCTATTTCCTGGGGGTTGGTCCACGGGATGAACAATTACTGGGCTATTTCAATGCTGGGGTGGATAATGGTTGTGTTTGCTTTCAGTTTGAAGAAATCTGGGACACTTGATTTCAACTTTCTTGAGGTTGAGACTGTGACTGATTCTTCATTGCCTCCTCTGCGCTTCCTTGCTGCTGGGAGTGGAAGAACTTTACAAATGGCTGCATTACCAGATGCAGGTCCCAATCTTGTATAGCAGCTGGTTTTTCCCCCTGGTCCTGAACTCCGTTGTACTTAAATGATGTATGTACGTTTTGGATGTCATGTATGTTGAAAGGTTTGCATTTTCAAGTATGATTATTCTCATATCATCGAGCATTTAGTAGCCATCTTGTTCTCTAGGAATTTAAGCACCTCAGGTATGAACACTTCTAGCACTCAATGTGGCTTAATGAACCGTTTCTTTGCTATGTCATGTTGTGCTTTAGGTGACCTAATGACTCATCTTCTGTGTTTTTAAAGGTTACTTTTTTAATTCTTCACCTTTACACTATGTTTGGTACACGGATTTTACAAAGGAAAAGGAAACAAAAAGACTAGGAAAAATTATTTTGGCGTTTGGTTAGAAAGGAACTAAGGAAGAGGAATGAAAATTGAAAACTACGGAAAATGTAATGTAAAATTGTACACTTCTAAATGTGATTTTCTTTCCATTTTTTCTGAGACAAGGCAAAGAAAAACAACAAACTCCACCTTCGGACCTTCCCTTATCCCTTGTGCCCATTCCCCCACCCACCCAATGCCCACCCTGCCTCTCTCTCTCTTTAAACAAGTTTTTTTCCGTTTTCTTTACAACAATCAAACAAAAATTGCTCGAAAAACAATTTCCTCTCCAATCCTCCTTCTAACCAAACATGATTAAGAATTTTGGTTTCTTTTTCTTTCCTTAGCATTTTCCTTCCAAAATTCCCTGAACCAAACATAGTGTTAGGGTTTTACTGAACATGGACAAAACTAATCATGAACAATCAGCATCAATAACATGAACTGCACATAGCTCTTCCAACAAACTTGCAGAACCAGTTTCAAAATATAGTTTCATCAGAAGCCATACTTGCAGAAGACACTAATGTCAGCTCGTACCAGAGTTTTAAATAGTGTACACCCATCATCCATTAGGTTGTGATTACATATTACCTACAATAAACATGCTGACCTCTGGTAGTGTACAAGAATACCGCAACCACAATTGCTCAGGTTAGTTCAAACCTCAGTCTAGTCTAAGTCACAAAGTTACTTCATGTAAGAGGTGAAACAATAGGAATGTCACACTAGTAGTATATTACTCTACAATTACCATAGCTATTGCCATCATACGTACTGCCTTTGCCTCTACCAACTTCCTCTTTTACATAGGAAACATTGATCTCAACTGAGGACCTCAAAAGATAGTGCACAAGCTTAAGAAATTGCATTTGCATTTGTATGTTTATTATATCCTTCTGATTCTGCGAACACAACCTCACCACTATCTTTGTCCACAACAATACTGTTGAACAAGCCTTCCACTATCGGCTTCCTCAAAAGCAACCTCTTCTGCACTTTGCCAATGTTTTCTTTATTTTCCTCCCCGGGTTAACTGCAAAATCAACATATGAAGACTATCTATCAAATAATCAACATGTATCTCTAATCAGTTTTTCTACTTTTGTGTAGAATGTTCCCAATTGGTTTTACTGCCCACCTGGTTGCTTTAAAAAAATTAATATAAAAAAAGGTATCTCACTACAGCATAACTGGGTGCACATAAAGTAGTTTTTTATCAACTGACCTTGTATCCAAAAAATCAGACAGTTGCTTAAGTTCTTGAAGCATGCTTTCTATTTCTACACATATAGTTGTATCTACCCCGCAAGAAGCCAAATCATTTTCAGATAAGTAGTTAACCACTGCAGTTGTGAACCTTATACATTCATCCAAGTCCTTTAAACCAAATTAAAGGAAAAAAAGAATTTAGTGTCACAAATAGTAAAGGTACAACATTTGAAGACAAGAAAAAGGTGATGAGGGATATTACCTTTGAATTAAGGGATATTGATGCTTAATCTAGTACACACCATTTCATTTGCAATGTGCTTTGCTTTTCCCTCTTCCTCCCATGGCATCCACTTGTGGTAAGCAAACAACATGACTTCTTCTCAGCCACTTCCACTACTTGACCCCTTCTTGGGAACATCATTTCCATGACATCCTCTTTGCAGGAATCTTTCTCTAATTGTATGAGTATCGTATCGGGAGGACAACCAGTTCTTGGAGTGTTTTCATTTAAGCACACAAGAAAAGTAGGATTCCCTATCGCTTGGAGAGCTGCAGCAACTTCTCTTCTATCCACAAAAGTTTGCCTGAAAACCTGAGTGAATTCAGTCGGCAGCTCGGACAAAATATGATGCTTCTTCAACACTTCATCGAGAACATCCAAAGATTCCCCAGTTGTAGAGTTCATGCAGAGTGAGCAAAGAATGAGTACCAGCCTAAAATCCAGCAACCTGTGATAGTAAGGAGTTATAATTCCAGATTTCTCAATCCACAAACTTGTCTCATCTCTCTCGACAAGGAGTTCTTCCACCATGGAGAGGATGGACTCATAGTACACATATATTTTGCTACGTGGCAATTTAGTTGAAAAGCTTGGAATCACACGAGTACCGGGTTTCTGATACATCAACCACTCTAGGAAAGAAGACTTTGTTGTGTAAAAGAAACCACAACTAGAACTGAATACCAAGAACATGAGGCGCTCCACAAGATACAAGAAGCAGTGGGGCGAAATGTAGCCTGACATATTCTTCCAATTGACTCTATATGTTTTTTGCAAAGCCTGGTGAAAACTGGGAAGCATCTCTCTTGGTTCCTTCACACTCAGAATCTCTATCAATGCAATCCATGCTGAATGTCCTGGCGTTCTTTCCAAAACTTTATTGCAAACTTCACTTGAAGGTTTGCCAGACCCAAACCATATCATCATCAGCTGCCCAGTTTGCCCTAGCGTAAGTTTACCTTTTCTACTTATATTTTTTATAATAACATCATTGAGTAAGCTGCGGGAGACCTCCGTCCCTCTTAGAAGGATCATGTTTTGATCCCTTGGATTATGGAAATGCAGGGGGAAAACAATGTTAAAGTATTTCATTGAGAGTTCAAAGAACCTTTTTACTTTTCCATCGTTGTTGCAGTTCAGGCTCCTGGAATTGAGAAAAAACTTTGAGATCTGATATATATTCACCAGGCACATGCTTTGTCTGAACTGAGACAAGGACTGCACTGAATAGTTATAAAGAGATTCAAGAATTACCATCACCTTAAGACCAACATAGAGCACTTCATTGTGCCAGTATTTCTCTGCTGCAAGTATGTAATGTGGCTCATCAATTGAGACTATGTTTTCAGTCTGCATCATTAAACTCTGACTCACATCTGTTACCCATCCAGCACCAGGGATTAACAGCAGATAGCTGGCTTTGAGATCAGTTAACTGTCGCCTCACACCAAGATAGTTCAAGCAGAAGTCGCCAAAGTCTTTATATTTTCCAAAATCATGGTTCACCTTAAGACAATTAAGAGACTCAAGAACTTGTAACACATTTTCCTTCCATAGATTCCAAAAGTGACACAGTGTTCCAACAGAGAGCTGGTCACAGAACATTGTATCATTCTGGAACTGCAGGTCAACTGGAAACACATCTTCCCAGGAATAAGTTGGGGCTTCAGACTCAGTGTGAACATCAATAATCTTTCTGAGACATAAAATTTTGGCGGTAAGATTCCCACACTTGCGTAATGCACTTAAAGTGCACCTCAATTCACACAAATTTCTTTTCTCATGTTCCAACACCTTAGCCTCAGTGCACACAGATTCATAGAAAAGATCAGATTCATTCCTAGCAAATGTGGTGGCCTTGTTCAAGAGTTTGTTCTTAGAAGCAAAATACTTCAGTGGCCATGGCTCGCTTCCCTGCACCCACAAAGAATTAGCTAGCACATACGATAGGATTTGCGAGGTTGCGTTGCAGAAATTTCCAGCTTTAACAAGAAGTTCTGCCTCTAGCAATAACAACTCATCCATACAATTTCTAGTCCTCAAGAACTGGCGCTTATCGTCCATTGACTTAAAAGCTTTGACAAACTTCATCATTGATTTCCTAGCATTGCACTTGAAGTACTTAGATGCACACCTTTCAAGAAATTCCTGTTTGATTCTGTCTATTTCTTTCCCTCTATCATCATTATCATTATACTGGACACCAGGTTTCCATTTCTCTACATATTTTAATCCTTTTTCATATAGCTGCCCCTTGCTGCAAACTGCCAAACACTTTGACAAACAGTTTTGCTTTGTGTATATCTCTGCTGCAGTCTCATAACATCCTGCGGATATGAAACACTCTGCAGCTTGTGCATGCTCGCCACACATATTCAAATAAATTTCTCCTGTATCATAAAAAAATGTCAAGGCTGGCCATTAGAGTTCTTGTAGGGTTGTAGAGATTAGATCAAATAAGCACACACTTATAAGAACTTATACCTGCCCGCACAAAATCCTTCAAGTCACAATAACATTCAGCTGCAGACTGAAATTTTTTGATAGACTCAAATATCTCAGCAGCTTCCCTAAGGTGGGTACCAGACACTTTGGGATTTCTTTCCTGCATTCGGGCAGCAGCTTCCCTAAGACTGAAAGCTTTAGCTTGTTTCTCTAAGGTTCTCTCTCCCGCCCTTTCAAAACACATTATGGCCATTTCATAGTTCTTCTCCCAAAGTAGCTGCAAAATAACAAAAATTCAGCTACCATTAGGTCCATTATACACATGTTTCATAAAGCACATCAATCAACAATTTTCTTGCATCAAGAATAGTAGAATTAGAAATCCATGTTAGATAAAAAGGAAACCAAGTTTTACTGACTTTTAATCCCCGATCCTTCCACTGCTCTTGAGTGCTTGCCTTGTGCATAGCTTGCACAAAAGATTCATCAACAGTCCTTACTTCCACAAGGCCCATTTTTCCCCAATATTCAAACATAGGTTTGGAGAACTCTTCAACACTCTCAGAGATCCATAATCTTTGTCTAGTCCTCGTTATTGCCACATAGAGCAGCTTCAGTTCAGAACACAAAACTGTGTGCCTTTCTTCAGTAAAATATGGAAAGCTCTCCAAAAATCTCAAGTCAACCAGATCTCTTTGCTTGGTACTCATAAATTCATACACCACTCTCCACTGATTTTCGAATGGTGAAGAACTAAAGAAGTTGTAAAGTAGTACATCCTACAAAAACAAATACCAATGCTCAGACAATTTAGCAGATATTAACATAAAACATAAAGTAAAAGCTTTACAAATATCTTCAACAGACCATAAATGAAAGTGAAATCCTTTAATTATCTAACTTACTTGGAACTCCAATCCTTTGGATTCAAGTATGGTTAGAACAAGGGCTTGTTTTCCAACAAGATCAACAACTTGCTTCTTAACAGACTCATCACGCACCAATATGACTTGCTCGGCTCCAAAGCCTGCCACTTTCGAGCTAATGCCCACACGGTTACCCAAGATAGTTGCAATAACATTTTCATTGCTCCCATGTCTCAGGAGTACTGGAGCCTCGCCATATATCAAGCTAGTCTCTGGTGCCAAAGCATCAATAGATAGAGGGAAATAGTGATAAAGAATATCAATCACACTTTGAGCAAGCTTAAGAACACCAGCATGTGTACGAAAGTTCTGCAGTAAACAAGACACCTTGGCTATGTGGCCTTTTTCTGTGACATGCATACCACATTTCTGTTTCATGACAAACTCCTCATAGAACAATGTTCGGATATCTTCAAACCTAAAATCCACCCCCTTAGCAATGGTCTGGGCTGTATCCCCAGAAAATATGAAGCCTTCATCAACATTTTGACAAACATACTTGAACAGTAAAATCTGTCTCATAGTGAGATCTTGAACCTCATCAATATACACAAAGTCCAATTTGTCACCCTCCCAGTTTTCCTCATTCAACCGTAGATGGATATCATTCACTAAATCAGCCAAATCAAATTCACCTCTTTTCTTCTTCATTTTTTCATAATCCAGAAAGATATCATAAATTGCCTCCCTCTTCTTTTCATTCAAAGTCGAAATCCTTTTATCAGACATTGAAATATATTTGTCACGGCTGAGTTTTGCATCACTTTTCTCACACGCTTGGAATGCCCCTTTTATATGTGAAATGATTTCAGTAAACACCTTTGCAACATCAAGAATCTTTGTCAACTGGGAGTTAAAGCGAGGCCAATACAAGCAACAAAAGCGGTCAAAATTAACCTCTTTTCTTTTTATTAGAGCTTCCACAGTGACTGAACTAGATATATCCAGAGAGAGAGTGTTTTTTTCTTGGAAATGGTTGAAGTATGAAGATCCTACTGTCCCATCCAGCATCATCAAGAACTTCCGAAATGTTATGACAAGGGGATATTTTTTCTCTGGAATGGAAACAAAAGTATTTGGAATGTCTTTAAAATGGGACAGTCCATCCAAATCATCCACCATATCCATCAAGCTACCATAGTCATCAGAGAATTTCTTACCTTGTGCAAAGCTGCAGGCACAAGAAAGTATCTTTGTCAAACATGATTCTTTTTTATGGAAGCAGTAGAACATCCCTTTAAAAAAAATCCTCGTTTCATGTAGCTGCAGCTTAACTTAATAAGTCCTAGTTGCATTTTCAAATGTTTTTCTTATGGTAACACATTTAAATTGCTTGATACTTCTTTAACAAATTACGGAGCAGATTATTTTAAATGGAAATTAGCTTCTTTTGTCAAAAAATGACTTCTTATGGGACAAACCAAGCTTATAAAGCTGACTTTATTTAGGTGTTATGGAACATGAGAGAGGACTAATTCTTTCAGACTTCATGATACTATGAAAGTAAATAATGCATCAAAGTACATTGTCACTCAGCAAGCTGTAAGTGGAGCATATAAGTAAGTATATATGATTGTTGGAGCTTACCATTTCAAATGAGAAATGTGTTGTTTAACAGCATAGCAAAGCTTTGGACTAACGGTAACAAACAACTGCCTTAAGGTATTTGTCTTGGTGTCAACTTCAGATTGACTACTTGTAATCTCAGCTCTTGAAAATCTACTTCTTCCTGTATACTTGCTTATCTCATTATTATCTGTGGTGATGCCCTCCAAGGCAAGATGTTGTTGTTGCTCCTTTTGAAACATTTTCATTGTCAAAACAGTGGTTTTCCCCGTGCCCGACCTCCCCAGTATGAAACTGCTTCTTTCAAACATAATGATCTCTCTCTCCTCATCGGACACTTCAAAAGGGATATCAATTTCTTCACCGAGGTTGTCAGAGAGCAAATGATTGGCAATGCCAGATGATAAGGAGTAAAACTTCATCAAGAGTAAGCTTTCACTCACTCTTGAAGTTTCAATGTAACCTCCACCATCCACCTCACTGTCATTCAAGCCTTTTGCAAATCTTTCATTAAGATTCTTGAACCTTACCAAATCAAAAGATGCTGGCCAAACTATAGGAACTTCCAAGTCACTGGGACAAAAAAAAGTACGGAGTAATTTAGAAGAGTTGTTTTTTTCTTTAATCAATTAATTCTCACAATAATAGGATTTGCAGGAAACGACATACCCATGCTGGCATTTCTGCTTGCACAAATTAATAAAATCTTCAGTATAAGTAGCGAATATGCTTTCAAGGCGTCCCAATAATCTTTCAACCTTGTCAAAGGGCAATAAATCCCATGCCTTTAAAATTTGACTGTACCGCTACTCCTTCTGGATGTCAACAGTGCATATTATGTACTGCCCTTCAACATTAAACTGTTTTATAATGTGTGAAGACCTGTTACAGTTCCGGTCCATGCTTTTTCTCTTGGGTCTCCATCCACTAGCCAGCTTAAGTAGAAGAGTTAGCACTGCTTTTTTAAGATGGGATGCCACCAACTTTTTAAATGATCTTTTGAAATCTTCGCTCAATAGAACCTAAGAACATAAAGGGAAAAAAATAACTTGACATTATAAACGGCATTCTTATTACAAACAAAAACCATTGACCATGAACAAAATGGTGCAAAGATGGGAACGAAAAAACATTCAATTTACTTCTTCTTAACAACCCACTTCTCCCCAAAGTTAGAACTTCAACCTTTTAAACTGCCCTCTAATTTAAGAAAAAGACATTTTCCTGGAAACAATTTTAAAAAGGCCATTAAATTGAACAGAATACCGAAATTGCTAAGGAATTCACAACTACCCTGGGTTAGCATCTAAGCAAAGATTAGTCTTAAGCCGGATAGAAGCAAAACAACAAAACAAATCATTTTACCTTCCACCTCTGATTTTTGAACAAGATGCTATCAGCATTAAGCAAATCCTCAAGTTGATTCAGTTCTGTCTTTACCTCCAAAAAAGTTTTTGACAGATCACTATCCTCAGAAGCAGAGAAGAGGCATTGACGCTGCTTTGCATTTAGAACTAAACCTTCCCACTCTGAATGACTATTCTCTAGTGTCAATTCATTTCCCAGAATCCATAAACAGTGTCTAGAAGAAACTGAAGAAATGGTTACTAAACAATTAGGTAACATCACTCTCAAATGTGATCAGATCAGAAGAAGAGACATACCGGGCTCTGGTCAGGGCAACATTTGTTCTTTGTAAATTGGACATAAAACCGATAGTGCCATCACGATTAGATCTCACAGTGGATAATATTATAATATCCTCTTCCGCACCTTGGAAACCATCAATAGACTTCACCTTAATTGCAAAGCCATTCAGGTTGTCATACCTTTTGCCAATTTTTTCTTTGATAGCAACTACTTGAGCAGCATAGGGAGATATAACACCAATGCTAAGTTCATTTCTCGTGTTACGCCAATCTGGGAAAATAATGTTTTCAAAAGAAGTTAGATTACACACTTAAGAACAACAAAGTGAATCAAAAGCAAGGTTTATATACTGTATATGTGATCCCAAAACCCATGGTAAAGAACCAGAAACAAGAATAGACTCACATCAAGGTTTAAATACTGTATATGTGATCCCAAAACCCATGGTAAAGAACCAGAAACAAAGAATAGACTCACATCGGTACAAGTTGTGCACTATCTTAAGTACTAAAGCAACCTCAACCATATTCCTTCTGCTATGGCCAAAACCATCCAATTCTTCTTTTCCATTGGGGACACTAATAAATGAATATGGTCCAAACATTCTTCCCTGAAGATACTGCCTCGCATAGGTTTTGCTTTGCACATTTGGAGCATCAATGACTTGCTGGTTATAGAAACTCAGATTTGGGAAGTGGCTTATTGCTGGATGCATTCGATACTGCATATTCAGAACGAGCTTTGAATGACCCAATGAACTTAACCTTTCAAATAAGCTTCTTCCAAATCCAGCTTCAGAAGACACCTATTAGCAACATTTTTCATCTTAGTAGGTGATATTGCAAAAGAGCTATCATTTCTTAAAACATTACTGAGATGTAAAAAGAACAAACCACTCACTTTGCTATGCACAATTGCAGGTAATTGGCATTCATCACCTACAAGAATTGCATGCTTCAGGCCTTGTAGCTGAAGTGGTATGATAGATTCGCATTCCCTCAACTGGGCTGCTTCGTCTATGACCATCAAACTGAATGGTTTGATCTCAAATGAGTGCATCTTATAAGAACTTGAAGAGGTACAGAAAACCAAAGATGATAGGTTCAAGCAGAACTCCGTTATCGATGTTTTTGTTATTGCATTGGGGAATTGAAGTCCCCCAAGAGAATTAAGAAGGGATTTCAGAATGGAGAGGATCTTTTTTCTCAAGTAGGCCAAAGGTGTATTTACAGTTGACCCAAATGAAGCTTGGGAGTGTACAGGTTGTGAAAAAATTTCGTTCAGTTGTTCAGATGTGATAGGCTTCTGATACAAAGTATGTTTCATGGAATCAAGAAGGTGGACCAAGGAAAGGATATCTTGGAAAGTCTTTTCAAGAATGAAATGCCTTGGCAAATGAGTACACATTGTAAGCATGCATCGTCTCAAGGGTGAAACGGCAACCTCAAACTGAGATTTAATAAATTCAGCAAAGGATTTAGGTTCTGAACTGCCCTTCAAGGTTTCTCCTTTCACAATCAGCTCTCTCATCTTTATTAGTTCAGTTTCCACAAAGATTTCATGCTCAGAAACAGGATACTCAAAAAAACGGATTGCAGAATCAACGCAGTGTCTCCAATCTTTCAAACACTCAAGAAGCCTTTCAACACAATATTCTAGATAGGATTCCTCAAAATCTTCGCCCAGCTTCAATCTATCCTTCTCTCCAAATATGAGCACATCACCCAAGGGATATATCAAATTCTTCTTTGAAGATTCATCTTTAAGGGACTCTTGGATCAGCTTTATCACCCGGGTGGCAACTTGCGAAATTGCCACATTTGTTGGAGCGCAAACAAGTGTTCTGCACTTCCTTTGACAGAGCATAAACAAAAGTGTACTAATAGTAGTCGTCTTCCCCGTACTCGGAGGGCCCCATATAAGATCAACATGGGAACAATGAACACATTCAACTCTTCTCAAACAGGTGCGCACCGCCTTAACTTGTGACTCATTCAGCTTGGACAGCATCTTGGCTTCTGTCTTCTGAGTTAATGATCCAATGGTGCAGGTACAAGATTCTCTCCCAGTCTAATCATCAATGTCAAAATAGCACACCAATCAAAACCATAACAACGTAAGATGAGAAATCTTTCCCATGCCCAACATAAAAGCAACAATACATGACTAACCTCATCACTAGTGTACAAAACAGCATGAATGATGTTGGACTTCCTGGGCATACCCAAAGCATTCCAAATCCGTTTGCTTGTTGTGATGTTGTCTAAGAAAACAATGTGGACTGAAGAATGGACTCCAATTTTGGCTCCAAAGTCTACAGCCATTTTCACTTTGAACTCAGTAGTGGAAACTCCATCATCATCCGTGACACTAACAACTGAAGCAAGTGCCCAATTCCATCCCGCGCGGTCCAAATCAGAAACCGTCTCCGGTTTATGATCCGATATTAGCACCAAGTCTCCAGGTAAGGTTTTGTAAGGCTCTTCATCCTCACTAACTCTTATCCTCCAAAACTCAACCTTGACATTATAGTAATGCATACCCTTCCCATGCCCTTTTGTAGCGTCGAAAGAGACGACTTCAGCAAATGGCGCCTTATCCATTGCTTCCATAGAAGAAGCAACCATTTCCCGGGTTTCTTCCAACAAAGGAAATGTATAACAGCAGAGGTAATGGTCCCTCGAACGAAATGTACGCGGAATCCTCTCAACCTAGCAGCAAGAAATTAAGAGTGGAAGAAAAACAAAGTTTAACAACATATGAAACAATGTATGAAACTGTTAAATTTGTGGAGATACAGGGCAATTCAAAGAGCAAGGTAGATATAAACTAAACCTGGGACCGGTAGAGGTTGTCATTAAAAATGTCTTCAAGAGACCAGGAGAAGACTATATCAGTGAGTTTGTCATTCTTATTAGGCTGAAACTCAGTCTTCACAAAAGAAGAAGAAGAAGAAGAAGAAGAAGAAGAAGAAGAAGAGCATCCCATTTTGGTGTTCACCAAAATAAAAAGAAAAAAAAAAGAAAACTGAATTTGAACAGGTGATGAAAGTGTTACTAACTAGACATGATATGATAGATCACAATTCACAAGTAGAAGAAGATTATTAATGGAGGATAAAAAAGATCCCACAAATTTGATCAACTAAAGAGGATGCATCATTTATGTGTGCATATATACAGGCCCGGGAGTATGTAAAAGGTGCATGGTGCTGTCATATTCTGCCTTCATGTCTCTATAAATTAAACGCCATCAGAAATATTACCGAGTATTATTTTTTGAAAGGTTACACATATACTCCCCCTATCCCTCTTAGTTTTCCCAATTTTGACTTGCACAGTCTCGAAAGCAACATTATGATCATTAATATCTTTATTTATATATAGATATATATTACTCTGTATAAAAAATATGATATTTCAAAACTAGATTTTAAGATAAACCCATTGATATTAAATTTATATTTTTTTTCATAATGCGATTAAAGTTTTACAAAATTGACCGTGCAAGTCAAAATAGGAGTAACGAAGGGGAACGCAGGGAGTACTTTTTACGAGCAGTATGTTTGGACTTGAATTGGGTGAAGAGAAAGTGGAGAGAAAGAAAATGGGTGAAGATAAAAACACCGAGCGCGTTTTATCTGGGACAGTCTCGAAAAAAGTCATGGGACAAAAAAACTTTTGTCACGACAATAGAACATCGTCTATTTTTCTTTCTTTTTTTCGAGTAATGTTAGATGCACACCAAGTTACACACCACTCTTCACCTATCATGTTGCATTTTTTTCATCTTTCTCTTTTTTTTAAAAATACAGTTTCTTCACAATTTGTATTTATTCTTTTTTTTACTCTTTGGAAATGATAATGAAATTTATGGATGTGCATGCATATATGCATGGATTGTTTCACATTTCCCATTCCCAAAGAGCTTAATGATGAAAACGGAGCGCAGCTCCACACTTACACCGGAGTAATAATTACACAGTGACCAATTTACCCCGGAGTAATAATTACTTTTTACTCTCCTAAATACGGAGTAATTAAATTTAATTAACTAATTAATGTCAGCAGCCATTATATAATCCCTCCGTCCGAAAATGTTCTTCCCATTTGACTTTTCACGGTCTCCAATATTGCGCTTTGACCATTAATATCTATATTTATACATAGATATATTTTATAAAAATTTGATATTTGAAAATTACGTTTCATTATGAATATATTGATTTTAAATTTACATAATAATACAATGTGTTTTTTCCACAAATCGTAGTCAAAGTTTACAAATTTTGACCAAGAAAAGTCAAATGTGAAAAACATTTCCGGACGGAAAGAGTATATGTTGAGACGATCAAGAGGTGTTTAACCGCCAGTAATCATCAATACGTGGACTACAAATTTAATTTGGGAGCAAATACTTTCATGGTCCTCGGGTCGATTCTAATTATATGGATCTTGCTGATGTTGACTCTTTAGTATTTGTATTGGGATTAGGATTATGATCATGATTAAGGTTAGGATTAAGCACATTAGCTTGGCTGGAACATGTCTTTTTTCACATTAGCTTCTAAGCCCAACAATTTTGCGAGAAGGTCCAGGAATTGGGCGTGCATCTTGAGTACACGGAATCACCATTCTTGTTTGGATAAAGAGGAGAAAATGAAGAGAGAAGAAAATGGAGTGGAGATGGAAAGAAGACAATTGATGTTTGGATTGGTAGAATATGAAGAGAAAATAAAAAGAAAAGGAAAAAGTTATTTTCTTTCCTTTGTTTTTTTATTTGGTTTGGGATAAAAGTAAGAAAAAAGAAAATATAACAAAGTAAAAAGAATTTATCCAAGAGTAGATGGAATAGGCTAGGAGTACTTGCAAATGGAGGAATAAAGGGCAAATCAGTCATTTTATAAGTTTTCTCTCCATGTAGCCCAATTCTCTCGTTATTTTCTTTTTCAAACAAACAGGAGAAAAGGATTTCTTAGACATATGTTATAAGGCTTGACCCACGGGCGTGAAGGAGACGTCAAGCCGTCACTGTGTGATCAATGTGACACTGTATGCATGACAGAGGCGTGATCGTTGACAAGCATGGCTTAATAGTGCTCATGGGCGTTGTTAGGGGTGGGTTGGTTTTGGCAGTTCGGTTTTAATTTTACCTCAAGCTAAAGACAAAACAGAAGGTAAGTTGGCGGTTCGGTTTTAATTTTACCTCAAACCAAAGACAAAATGAAAGGTAAGTTGGCGGTTCGATTTTGCATAAAATGTAAACCGTTGGTTATTTGGTTTGGTTTTATTCGATTTTTATTATGGTTTTTTTTATAAAAGTAAAAAAATTATAAAAATACTAACTCGATGAAGCAATAACAGTATGTATGGTTGGGTTCGGTTGTTGGTTTGATTTTTACACGAAGCCAAAAACCAAACGGAAGGTTAGTATTCCGTTCGGTTCAATTTTGCATAAAAAAATATGTGATGAGCGCCTGACAAACATCAATGAGATTCCAAATACTCCCAAAGACATCGTATGTAAATATCAATTACGGAGAATTTACGTTTTTTGATATGATAATTTCATTTCTATTATAAAGTTTTTTATGTAAATATGTAAATTACTCATATCAATTTTTAATGTTAATATAGTTCTGTAGTAAGATTAGTTATTGGTGTTTATATTCTTAGGTTTTTTAAAGTTTACAATATGATTTAAAATTTTTAATTAATACGAGTAGGTAAGAAATAACTTTAATCGACTAGTCAACTATTTGCATTTAAATTTCTATGATTTTTTACATATCACATAAACTCATATAAATAAAATGAAATACCTAAACAAGTTCGTTTTTGTTCGGTTCGATTTTCCAAAGTGAAAACCAAAATGAAAACCAAACAATAACAATTCGGTTCAATTTTTTTCTAGCTCGTTTCGATCGGTTTCGGTTCGATTTGTGGTTTTCGGTTTTCCCAACTTAGCCCTAAGAATGAAAGAAATATATTATTTCAATTAATGTGAGTCCATGCAAGTATGATATAAAATACTCATCAATCACCAACCTACCAATTGATGTAAAATCTACCACAAAGTTTATGCATTACTCAATACATGCACAATGTAAGCATTAAAAATTAACACTCCAAATGCAGCAAAAGCCAAGTTTGAGAGGCATAAACTTGACCAAAAAAGAGGGAAATTAATTTGTCCTGAATGCGAGAAATGTCAAGAATACCCTCAAATGAATCCACAACATCAATCTATCTGCATTGCTTCTGAATGGTACTTGTCTAGATCAGCATCAAGCTCTATAGCAGAAACCACCTTTCCACCACCACTGTCTCTTCTTCCTCTCCCACGCCCCCGTCTCCTTCCTTCCCGCCTACGAAGGACTCTACTGGAATTTCCAGTTGCTGCATTTGTGCCGACAATCTCTATCTTCACTGGCTTCCCATCAAGCTTTGCATTGTTATACCTTTTGAAAGCTGCTAAAGCATCTTGTCTGCGAGAATATACAACTTCTGCTGTTCCCTTTGATCCTCCGCCATTCTTGTCGTAATGGATTGCATACCATTTCATATCACCAAATTCTGAAAAAAGTATATTAATGTCTTCTTCTGAGACTCCATTGCCTAGATTGGAGACATATAGCTTCGTGCCCGTCTCTATCTCAAACATATCTTGAGTCCGATTCCGAGCTGAGTTGTGTGCCTTTGCAGTTGGGTAAGGGGCATATCGGTTAGTGTATCGGATTGGGATCTGTCTAACTCGTCTTGCTTCTCCTCGGAAAGAGCTATTACCTCCTCCAGAATTTGTATTCTTCTAAATGAGATCATCATTTCATCATTGAAAAAAGAAAAGTACAATATTAATATTTCACATAACAAATAACCAGAAGTTAAAAAAATGGGCTTTCATCTTTGAAATCTAAGATAGATTGTTTTAATTACCTTCCCTTGATTTTTGACAAGGATACGATCTGCATTACACAAGTCATCAATTTCGGCAGCAGAGAAGAAGCATTGGCGTTTCCTCGCGTCTAGAACTAATCCTTCCCAAATTGAATGGCTATCCGTAAGGGTCTTTTCATTTCCCAATATCCATAAACAGTGCCTAAATTGAAGAAAAAAATCAACCAGAAGAAAAAATGGTCAGAATATGTGCGCAATAAGTAGCATCAGTTCCAAATTAGAAAAGGGTAGAAGATTACACATACCGAGTTAGATCTCACTGTTGATAATATTATTATATCCTCTTCCCCACCTTGGAAGCCATCAATAGACTTCACCTTAATTGCAAAGCCATTAAGGTTGTCATACTTTCTGCCAATCTTATCTTTGATGGCAACTACTTGAGCAGTATAGGGAGATATAATACCGATGCTAAGTTCATTTCCCATAGTTTTCTCTTTATTTTTCTTTTCGATATGCCAAGCTGGGTAAAATGTTTTGATTAAAAAAACAACATGTTAGAACATTGCATGCAAACTCAAAAAATTGCAAAATCCCTACAAGCCAGATGATGAATATTTCATACAAAACAGCAAGTGAAACAGTTTACTCCCAACAGTTTCATCACTTCGTAGACACTAACATGAACTCGGAATTGCTATAAAGTGATTTACTGAAACAAAGTGATCAATCAAAAGCTTTCAGATTTTAGCAAAAACGGAAAAAATTGTTTAAAAAAAAACAAAGAGAAGACTTACATTCAAACAAGTTCTGCACAATCTTAATTACTAGATCCACCTCAACCATATTTCTTCTACTCCCGCCAAAACTATCCAATTCTTCGTTTCCATTGGGGAGACTTATAAAAGAATACAGACCAAACATTTTTCCAGGAAGGTATTCTCTCTCGTGGGTTTTATTTCTCACATTTGGAGCGTCCATGACTTGGTTATTATAAAAACTCAAATTTGGGAAGTGGCTTATTGCTGGATGCATTCGGTATTGCACTTTAAGCATGAGCTTTGAGTGACCCAATGAACTTAGCCTTTCAAACAAGCTTCTTCCAAAACCAGCTTCACCAAATACCTATTAACTTTCTCTAGTCATTAGGTTGATGAAGACGATTTGAATTATTAGATTCAAGACTGAAAAAAAATTTAAAAAATTGGATGCTCACTTTGCTTTGGACAGTCGCCTGTAATTGGTGTTCATCGCCTACAAGAATTGCATGTTTCAGACCTCGAAGTTGAAGTGGTATGATTGATTCACATTCCATCAACTTCATCAATGACCAATACTTTAAATGGTTTAGTATAGAGTGAATGCATCTTATAAGAACTTGACGAGGTGCAGAAAACCAAAGATGAACACCTTAAACAGAACTCCTTAATAGCTGCTCTATTTAATCCACTGGGAAGATTAATTTTTCTAAAAGAACGCAGAAGAGTTTTCAGAATGGTGAGGCATTGGGTTCTCAAGTAGACCAATGAAGACGTGTCTAGAAATGATTGGCAGGAGACTTCAGAGGTTACTGGTTGTGAAAAGATTTTCTTCAGTTCTTCATTAGATGTCATATGCTTCTGATATAAAGTTTCTTTCAGATCATCCAGAAGGGAAATCAGAGAGATCATATTTTGGAAATTGTGTTCTTGAATGAAATGCCTTGGTATATGATTGCACATTGTTATCATGCATCTTCTGACTGGTGATACTGCAACCTCAAACCTAGATTTAATAAATTCAGCAAAGGACATTATAGGTTTGGCACTATCACTCCTTTTGATTAATTCAGTTTTCCGATACGTTTCATAGTCAGAAACAGAATGTTTGAAAAAATGAATTGTGGAATGAATGAAGCGTCTCCATCCCCTATCACGGCCCAAACACTCAACAAGACTGTCAATGCGACGATCTAGACATATCTCTTCAAAGCCTCTGTCCAGCTGTAATCTATCATTCTTTGCAAACAAGAACACATCACCCAGCGGACATACCATATATTTCTTAAAAGACTCATCTTTATAAGACTCATGTACCAGCCTTATCACCCTAGAGGCCACTTGTGTTATTGCCACATTAGTCGGTGCACAGATAAGTGTTCTGCAGTTCCTTTTCAACAGCATAAATAGCAGTGTACTAATAGTGCTTGTTTTCCCAGTACCAGGAGGGCCCCATATAAGATCAACATGGGACATTTGGTTGCATTTCACCCTTTCAAGACAAGTAAGTACTGCATTGGATTGTGACTCATTCAGCCTGGACAGCAAGCTTGCTTCTATCCCTTCAGTTGATGATCCTATGCCAGCAGGCCGAGTGCATGCACAACATTGCTTCTCAGCCTAATCAATTTTAGACACACACATGAAACAAAAATAATTATCATTAGGGCGGTAAAGTTTGATACTCCCTCTGTCCCATAAAAATCTTCTCACTTCCTTTTTTGTCCGTCCCAAAAAAACTTCCCTTTCGTTTTAAAGTAAAGAATTTGTCGCTAAGATTATTTCTTTCTCCTCTTAACCAATTCTAACCAGACTCCTGTTTTTTAAATTTTTCAACACTTTTTTTGAACTCCGAAAAAGTAAAAGTGAGAAGTTTGTTTTATGGGACGAGGGAGTATATTGAGAATGGGTACTTTGGAAACAATAATAATTGAAGTAAAATTCGAAGGTTATTAAACCAACAACATCATCAACCCCAGCACTCTCGTACAAAATGGTTCCAAAACAGTTCAAATTCTTGTCCATTCCCAATGCATCCCAAATCCTTTCACTTGTTGTAAGATTTTCTAAGAAAACAATATGCAGCTTTTTATCAACTCCATCCCTGATGCCAATATCTCTAGGCATTTTCAATTTCAGAAGTGTTGAAGAATTGACTTCACGGGCCGTGACAACTGAAGCCAGTGTCCAATTCCATCCCGCGCGCTTCAAATCAGAAACCGTTCCTGGCTTATTGTCTGAGATTACAACCAAGTCTCCAGGCAATGTTTTGTAATACTGTCCGTCAGCACTAACTCTTCTTTCCCAAAACACATCCTTGACCACACAATAAATAACTTCCTCAAGTCCATCCACGCATTCAGAGGAGATATTCCCTTCACCTTCGCCAAATGGAGCTTTGTCCAGCGCTTCCATAGAAGAATGGACATTTGCCCGCGTTTCTTCAATTAAAGGGAATGTGTAACAACATAGATAGTGGTCCCATGAGCGGAACGCATCCGGAATCTTCTCAACCTAGCAGAAAGAGTGTGAAACAAAAAACATGTTCAATGGAATTGGATATTAATATCTACGGCTAAATTCCACGGTTGGTCCTTCAAGTTTTTGTGTCATGCACGGTTAGTCCTTCAACTTTATAAAGTCCACAAATAGTCCTTCAAGTCACGTGCCACGTTAACGTTGCACGATTGGTCCTTCAGTTAAGTTTTCCGTTTGTCCATACATTTTTCCCATTTTCCATAATAAATACACGTGAGGAACCCTCTTTTCTTCATACAATTGAGTCATATTTCATGTAGATCCGTTTTAATTGAAATGTTGGGTAACAAATCAACCCTGATTGACTGCAAAAAGTCAAAACTTGATAAACACTTTAAAACGGAGTGTGTATATTTAAAAAAATGAAATAATAAACGCAAGAATAACTTATTATTATTAAAATAGTGGACTAATAAAAGTAAGAATAACTTCTTATAATTAAAAAATGGATTTATATTAAATAATGTTCAATTGTATGAATAAGAGAGGGTTCCTCAAGTGTATATATAATGGAAAATCGAAAAAATGCATGGACTAACAAAAAAAATTAACGGAAAAATTAATGGAAGGACCAACCGGGCAATGCTAATGTGACTTGAAGGGTCATTCGTGAACATTATAAAGTTGAAGAACTAACCGTGCATAATGCAAAAACTTGAAGGACCAACGGTGAAACTTAGCCTAATATCTACATATCGAATGATGACAAAAAGATTACTAATATAGGCATATTACTAAATAACAGTGGCAATGGTCTGAAAAGTTGTAGGCACTTAGGCAAGGATTAATGGACGCCTAGACAAACTTATTAGGGGATTTCCCGAACACTGGCAAATCCAAAGTAATGAAGATGACTATCTAAAGATATAATGGAAACTGGTCTGCATAAGCTGGTGGAACAAGAGAAGATGGAGATACCTGGTGTTTATAGAGATTTTCATTAAAAATGTCTTCAAGGGACCATGAGAGCACTATATCAACGAGGTCAATTTTAGGGTGACCATCCCTCTCCACAAAGGAAACCCATTCTTCCATTTGTATTTCGCTCATCAGAATTCCAGAATACTGTATTCTTTTCCTTCAAAGAATCACTGGCATTGTAAACAATTGAGTTGCAGAAACACTTAAAATTTGATCAAGTAGGCGCAGAGCATGCTGTGCATGAAATGCAGTGTTTCTATGGACAATAGCTTTTTAGGGTTTTTCCAGTTTTGTGTGGAAATGAATGAACATATATAACTGATATGATCAGACAGGCCGCCTTCAATAACAAATGTAGGAGAGGGATGAAAACTGAGCTCCTCGGAGCTCGAGACATTCTTCTCATATGGCGGCCAAAAGATCCTCTGGATTGCATCTTCATCCCTAGGCGCAGTGCAACTCCCCAAAACAACAATTATGATGAGTAGCCTTTATATACTCCTTTGAAAATAATTGTTCCAAGCGAATTACTTTGTTTGTATATTTGTTTTTATTGATTATAAAATAAAATATTATTTCCTTATTTTGGTTTATAGATATTTTGGTGTTATTTTAAAATATGTAATTTATATTTTTTATTTTATATCAATTTATATATAAATATTACATTACTAATTTTAAAATAAATAATCTTAGACATTATTCGAAATGAGACCATAATTTAGGGATTGAGCGAGAACTCACATATTTGTCTCACATCCCAAATAATATTTTCAAAATTTGACTAATAACTTCTTAATCATTTTCTTCGGTTTTTTACTTCATCATCACATGAATGACAATACCTTTTTAATTTATTCGAACTCTTTCGAATCCCATCCCATTCAATATTTAGCTCTACTTTCATATTAGAAAGTAATCTTATTGTCTTAAAAAGAATGTCATAGTTACTATTTTGATTTCTTGATAACTTTTATTTGTTTACTTATTTTGGTTGACCATTTGAAAAAATAAAACATTCATGTCGCATCTTATTTTGTAAATCTTTTGATGTAATTTTAGACACTGTAATTTTAACTTTTACTTTTCTATCAATTGGTAAATAGATGTCGTTCAAATTGTTACAAATAATTTGAGACGGGAGCATCATTCTTGAGATGGGAGAAGATCCAATGTTTTGGGCCGATCGGATTATGTGCATTTTGAATTCGGGCTGATCCGTTAACGGATTTTTGGTAGGGTCCCCTTAACAGAATTACAGAAGTCCAGTGAAACTCCATCAGAGCATCTCCAACCATGCTTGTTATATGGATTTGCTATTTTTACATTGTAGCAAGTGAATAGTAATATAACAAACACTTTTTTATTTTATTCTCCAACCATTATTTGTTATTTCATTTTTTAAGTATTGGCTAGCTAAATTTTGAGGGACTTGTCATATTTAGCAAATCAAATTCATTTTTTGGCAAACTTGCTAAAATAAAGCATGCCTTTTGGAGAAGAGCAAAAGTGTTTAACTAGTTATATTAAAACTTTTAGCAATTTAAAATGATATGGGTGGAGATGCTCTCTAAGAACAACTTGGTGAGGGATCGGCCTTTTCCGGTAAAGCAATATATTACACGCCTGAAAATATGAAATCTACCGGCGACTTTCCCCACATGGGCGACCAGAATCAATAAAAGAGATTGCGGGGAAGAACATCAACCGAGACTCAAATCTGGACATCGGAATAAAAAGAGAGAGAGAGAGATCCAAATTCGATCGAGAACCGGAGGTATTTGTCAGGTTTATTCATCTAATTCCAGTCCTACGTTGTAAGCTTGTGGAAACTTCAATTTGCATCTGATTAAGAAAGCAGGGTAGCTAGAACATCATAGGAATTTCAAATAATTGCATCTGTATTTCCGGAACGGTGGAAAAGTTGACTCTTTTTCTCACATGCCAGCTGATCTTATGATATGGAGGGTTTTAACGAATTGTGTTGGGTTTGAAAGTTGTATTCTTTTTCATCCTGGTACACTCTTTTCTGGTTTGGTTCGAGTTCTGGGATTTACACCAAGCAGAACTGTTATTCCTCACTGGAATCCTCTCTAGTTTTTTCTTGTTTTCCAGTTATTGTGCTTGTTTGGTATATCACCTCTGATACGCAAACTTCAAGTGTCTAGAAGTTTCAGTTTGAAAGAAAAGTAATTCACCTCAAAGAGGAAACTGTGCTCCTAAGTTTTAGAAGCCCGTGGTGATTACTATGAGGATTTGGGAATAAGGTCAGCTCCTTTGCTTCTACCGTAGATAGAATGGTTGGGGTATGTACCCCCCCCCCCCTCCTCCCTCACCTAAGTAATGTCTGAATTTGAATTGAGTACATATTTTATCAGCAAGGGGAAAGCAAAAAATTGTGGCCTAGTGTAACTTAAGAACCAGCTCCGGGTGAAAAGGGCTAGGGGTTCTGCGTTTGGAGCTTGTTAACTCTTATATGGGAACTTTAACCAATGGTAAGCAAATAAAATGAACATATACTAAGCACGCGAGCACATAGAACTGAGTTAAGTAATGTGCATTTGTGGATGCCGACAGGAATCACGGATGCTGATTCAGCTATTTTTAAATCTTCCTTAGGATAGTCTTTTTAGATTTGAGGCTTACCATATTAGTGGAATCACTTTCATGTTAGTCAACAGTCTCTGACTTTTAATGATTCTCCGTGTTGCATGTTTTCCCAATTCATTATAGTCATAAGGTTGGAAGTATGTTTAAATTTCAGTTGGTGACCTTGTAATAGTTTTGCCCAATTTAATTTCAACGTTTATTGTTGTCTAAAGCAATAGGTTGAAGTGGTTTGGGCACATAATGAAGAGAGGTGTGGAGGCTCCTGTGAGGAGATGCAAAAGGCTTGCGGTAGTGGGTGTAGGGTAGAGGTAGACCTAACCACCTAGGTAGAGTAGACAGGACTTAAGACTTCAAGATCTTACTGGGGATATGTTTGGGGATATGCCTTCGGTAAAGAGCACTTGGAGAACTAGGATTAGAGTAGTTGATCCGGGGGTTCCTTGGAAACATTCTCTTTAATTAGTTCCATGTAGGGTAGGGTGTACACACTCTATTCTTGTGGGATTTTATTGGGTTTGTTGTTGTTGTTATTGTTGTCTAAAGTCCTATGTTTATTGGTGACACAGACAGCGGTTTCTTTATATATATGGCACAACCCTGCAGTTGTGATGGTGATGATGAGCCTGAGTGGATTAAAAAGGTGAAATCAGAAGGTGCTGTTCCGTTTCTTGATCCTGAAAACTGTTCCAATGGTTGGGCATCTCCAGCTGGTGACGTTTTCATGGTAAGAGGCCCGGACTACTTTTCAAACAGAGTCAAAATTCCAGGCGGCGAATATCTTCTGAAGCCTCTGGGTTTTGATTGGATTAAAGGCCCTTCAAAACTCTCCAATCTCATGTGCAATCCCAAACACCGCATCAGGAGGGCTCTTTTGGATGAATTCCCGGCGTCAGGTGGCGAGAAGCCCTTCGTTTGGGCTTTCAACTTGCAAGTTCCCAGCAAGGAAAACTACAGCGCGGTTGCGTATTTTGTGGACGTGGGACCCACAACCGAGGGGTCGTTGATAGACCAGTTCCTGAGAGGAGACATCGCGTTCAAAAACTCAAGGCTAAAATTGGTGGCGAATATTTCCAAAGGACCTTGGATTGTGAAAAAGGCAGTTGGGGAGCAGGCCATATGCGTCATCGGACGGGTACTCACTTGCAATTACTGCACCGGAGACAATTTCATCGAAGTCGATATAGACATTGGGTCCTCGGTGGTTGCGAATGCAATTGTTCACCTTGCATTCAACTACTTGACAAAGCTGACTGTTGACATAGCCTTTCTTATTGAGAGCCAAAGTCAACCAGAACTTCCCGAACGAATCTTGGGAGCCGTGAGGTTCTCCGAGCTGGACCCCGCTTCAGCGAGGACAGCTGAAGTTCTATCACCTGAGCAGAGCTTGGAAAGGTCGCAGTCCTCGTTGTCTCAGCTATGGAAGTCGCTTGGGAACAGCTTTTCCTCCATTCACAAGGGTGCTCAAGAAAGCTTTGATATCTCTGGAGGAGGAGAGAATGTAGACTAGGTAAGTGTCTTATGGGCACATAAACACCACATTTTCTTTCTTTTTTCTAACATAAATGTTCTCAAGTAGCATCAATTTCTTTTTAGAACAGATATTGGTTGTTTGGGTTGATTGTTTGTTACTGAAAGTATCTGGATAGTTGTTGTTTAAGAAAAAAGCGTTTGGGAAGATGAATTGTTTATATCAACCCTTTTATTCGAGTACTTGAATATGGGAAAGAATTCTATCCCCTTTTAAACATCTACTGTAGTAAAAAAAGGATGACTAAAAAACTAATCCAAAAGAACTCATGTTTTCATCGTTGAGACGAAGAAAAAAAAAAGAAAAAAGGAATTGTTGCTATAAATAGGGCACGTTTGTAACAAAAAGGTACACCAACTATAAATTCTGTAATAAAAAAGTACCCCAAACCGGTTTAACCAACAGGTCACAAGGATCAAATTTGTAATATTTCAGCTTTATTTTATTATGTTTTTGACATGTGTTCAAACATTTCCTAACTCTATTATAACTCATCTTTATAATGTTTTTATTTTATTATGTTTTTGATTTCATCTTTAACTTTCCAACTAATAACTCTATTATAATGCATTATCCCCTCATACATTCCCAACCCATTAAACATGCATGTAGAGTCATTACTCTTATTAGAGATCGAACTTGTGACCTCCCACACGGAAGAGTTACCATCATGCCGCTAGACCATAAGGTCTTACGCTATGTTTGGTTCGAGGGATTTTAAAGAAAAAAGAAAAGAAAGTGAAGTGAAAAATTATTTTTCTTGTTGGGCCAGAGAGGACAAGAAATGAAAAGTGGAAGGAAATAAAAATGTGAAAGCAAAATGTACTAAGTGAAGGAAAATCTAAATTCCTCCGATTTTGACAATGAAAATGAGAGAAAATTATTATTTTTCTTTTCCTTCCAAATTCCTAGAACCAAACATAATGTTAATGTTTAATGAAAAAAATAGAGTACACGATCATTTTAGATATCTAACCAACCACCCACCCACCAAGTATTGCAAACTTGAGAAAAACTCTGGATCTTAGACCAAAAGTAACAAAACAATATGGATCATGGATGATTGCTACAAAAAAATGTGGACAAATTCCCTAATCAAGTAAGGAGGGAATCAATGAAGAAGGGGCCTAATCAAATGGATCATGCTACACTTACACCAACAAATATACCCCATTTGTACACCACAGGTTTGCACAAACATTTCGATGATTTACACCGACACAAGTGTTGGTGCGTTAATAAGAATTCACACGGACACAAATGTTGGTGCGTTTAACAAAAATTAGTTTTACACCAACACAAAATGTTGGTGCAAAACTGCGGGGTACAAATTGGGGTACAAATCTTGGGGTACACATAGCATAATCCAAGACCACACAAGACCACTCGTGGGAAGGACAAAAGAAAAAAACACACATGGGGTACCTCACTGGCGGATCCAGGAATTCAGGTAGATGGGGGCAGTTGGTCGGGAGTCCGGGGGCGTTGCCCCCGAAATATATGAGATGACAAAAAAATATTAGATTTTATTTCAACCATTTATTGAATGTAAAACATTTATTAATAGGTAATGTAAAATTTTATTTCATAAACAATTAATTATGTGTAATAAAATACACTTTATTAAAAAAAATCAATAAAAAAATTTAATTTAGCTTGATTAAATGGGATCACATTAACTTTTGTTGGGGGCATATGTACTGATGGGTGTATTCCACCCACGACCGGTCAAAGAAGAAGGCCAAATAGTTGACCGGTCAATCTTGAGAGTTTTGGAAGGGAGACTTAAATCGTCAGCAAAACGATCGTCGGCCAAAATATGACCGATATACTTCACAAAAAGTATACCGGTCAAACTACGCTGTCGTCCTATTTATTCCAGACTTCGATAAATTCATCCCTCGGAGATTACCCGGTGTAGTTTCTGGGGTTGGAAAGTGTCGGCAGGAGAGGATCTGCGAGGATTTGGCGTGTAGCGACCCGTGTCAGTAGAGGACAACTGGAGATGCTGAAGAATCCATCCAAGGCACTACTTGACAAAGGGAATGATCCCCTTCACAAGGCGACAAGGCAGCTTGAGG